TGGAAAGCTTTAAATTATATAAATTTTAAATAGTATGCTTTAAATTATATATATTTTAAAAAGTATAATTTAAATTATTTAATATAATATAGGAGCAACATTTGTATACTGTATAAATATCAAATATGTAGAACTCGGCAGTTCGATAGTTCGGACAATGAAGTCCAAGAAGTAGGAAGAAATAACTAAATAGTTTTTTTTTAATATACAATCAATACTACGAATTTCAGTGCACTTGTCACGCTCAAAAGTTCTGCTGGGAGTCGAAAAATAAAAAAATAACTGTATTGAAATAGGCAAAGGCAAATGTGTTGTTGGCTTCGGCACCGGGCAATTAGGGCGTTTGGCTGGCCGAGGGCGGCGTTGCGCGGGGGAGGGTGGGGTCTGGGAGTTGACCACATACTATCAACATTTTTTTGTTCCCCATACATTTTTCTATTTGTTTTTGTTTTGTTATTGTCTGCAATTTCTGTTGCAGTTATGTACACTCACACACACACAGAGATAAAAGATGTATCGGCACATGGATACATATATATGTACGACATACAGAGAGCTTAAAGATAGGGTTTGCTTGGTTAATATTAATTGTTATTGTATTTATTAAATTAATTATTGATGTTGTTGTTGTTGTTGTTGGGTACTTACCAAATGATTGAGCATGAACCGCTAAAAATATCGAGAGGAATGAAAGAGCGCTAGCCAAGAATTTTGCCTCCATCTTTGGTATTGATCCGTGTTGTTGTTGTTGTGGTTGTTGCTGCTGCTGCTGCTTTTGTTGTTGTTGTTGTTGTGTTTGTTGCTTGTGTTCAACTGTTGTAATTATTTTGATGTTGTTGTTGTTGCGGTTGTCGTTTCAAATTGCTTGCATATTAAATTTGCATTAACTATTTGCTGATTGATTAATTATTTCTTTTCGGTTGCTTGTTTTTTTTTTATTTGTATTTGTATTAATTTTAATTTTTTATTATTTTTGTTTTGTACTTTATGCTTAACTTACTAGATCATTATTAAGATTAATTTATGTGTAGCTTTATTTATACGATTTGAATTTGTTTTCATTAATTATGCTTAACATTAATTTGATATTAGTTGATGTTGTTGTTGTTGGTTGGTTGGTTGGTTGGTTGTTTGTTTTTGTGTTTTGTTCTAACGATTCTTATCTTTCTCTTTATTTAACCAGCTCCAGCTTTTGTTCTTATTTCTTGTCGCTATTTTTTTTTTTATTATGTGGCAATAGAAAGAAAATTATAGAAATATTATTTCAACAAACAATTTCATATTTATTGCGCTCGCTTTGTTTCTTTGTCAATTTTAGTTTCTTTCTCTCGTTCGGTTTGCTTTGATTCTTCTGCTTTTTGCACAAAATTTAAAAATACATAAATTCACAGAATAAAGCAAAGCAAAGCAACATAGAAGAATGCCCGCGGCGTCTACAAGTGCGTGAGAGGGAGAGGGAGAAAGAGAAGCTAGCTCAAGGATGTGAAAAAAGCAGCAGCAGCAGCGGCAACAAACCCAACGGGAATTCAACTAAATATAAATTTCTTTAAAATGTCCACTCATTGTCTCTCTCTCTTTATCGCTTTCGACGTCAGCGTCAGAGTTGAATGCAGCACACGTGCGAACAGCGCAGAGTTGCGAGGGGATGAGGGGGGAGGAATGACAGCTGAACCTTTTGCTAATTTCTTATGTTTGTCGCGTTAAATCATTTTTGACGTTATTCATTTACATGCGTAGCCAAAAACGCTCTCTCTCTCTCTGCCTTTCCCTCACACACACACAAACAGACGCACGCACGCACGCACTCAGTGAAACTGGGGGTCGAGGAATTTTTGGCTGGTAAACCGAAAATGAAATATGCCACATTGACGTCCATGCAAAATGCTCAACGCAAATGCACTCAAAAATGAGTTCAAAACTAAAATAACGGCAACTGCCTGAATTTTTCTTTATATTTCTTTAACATTTACACAACATTTAACAACTACTACTAATACAGCACACTAACCAAAAGAATGGGCAAAAAACGAACACGGAACACAACAGAACGGAACAGCAACGTAAGCGCAAGCGTAAACGTAACGCAACGAAATCAGCGAGCAGACTGAACTAGCCGCTGTGCAGCAACCGAGCGAGTAGGCAAAAAGAGCAGAGCAACAAAAATTATAACAGGCTGAGGCTCGCTCGGCCAACGGTCGGCAGCGACGGCGACGGCGACGTCGTCATGGCTGACTGATAAAAGTCGTGCGGATTTGTTATTAGCTCATTGTTTTTGCTGTTGCTTTTGAGATTGAAATACTTTTGACAGCAGCGTTATCAGTAGCCGCAGCAGCAGTAGCAGCGGCAGCAACAACAATGACCGCAGCAGAATCAGCGGCAGTTTGTTTACCTCGCAGCGACGTGTATGCGGCGGCATTCGCAGCGAATGTTTCCGTCAAAATTTATACGCATATTCCATATACTCCACAATACATATGTACGTACATATATAAATATATATAAATACTTATATACACGGACATTAAGATAAAGTGCTCATTGCAGTATTTTATACAAATATACAAGTCGGCGACAACGTGAAACGTTCACGTATGACAGCCATGGACAAAGAGAGGCAACGTGCGCGAGGGGGCAACATGATGAGCTGCCTGAAAGCGGATGGCAGCGGTTTCGACATGATTTTTAGCTGGGTAGCTGCTAAGCTAATTTCGTTGCGTTAAAAACAAAAGACGCGCACACTCATAAAGCAACGCACAGCAGAAACAACAACAACGGCGACGCGTCATGTAATTTCATTTTTGTTTTCTAATCGCTGGTGAAAACTTGTAGAAGCAGCTGAGCGCGATAGACCAGGTATCGATGTGAGTCGAACTCGATATCGATTGGCGCGCCCAAGTCTGTGTATGTGTGTGTGTGTACTTATATGAGAACGTAGACCAGGCTGCAGATATCGATTGACAGTCCAACTCGATATCGATTGGCGCGCCTAAGTGTGTGTGTGTGTGTGTGCTTATATGAGAACATAACACTTTTGTTTGATAAAGTTTTGCCATTTATTGGCAAAGTTCGGACCACTTGCGAGACAAATTGCCTTTTAGCGCAGCATAACGTCATCGGATAGCCATGACTCAGTGTCCCGGTCATACTTTATTTACTGTTCACACACACACACACGCATTGCTGACTTACATGCAAACACGAGAACAAAAACAACATTGACGCAGTCGATGATGTGATGCTGGGCCGCAACTTTGAGCAATTAACAATCAGCGACAATCATAATTCCAAGGAATCTATGTGTATAAATATAGTATTTATTATGTCAATTTGAGCATCTAACTAATTTGGTATTAATTTTGTAGCAGACATCAGGTCACTCTACAATATACAGTTAGCCTTTTGCTAAGGATAACCTACAAAATGAATATATGTATGTACGCATATTAATATATGTACATATATTCACAAGCTAATTGATTTGATTAAGCTTAAAATGAATGAGAAGAAAAAACAATATTAATAACAATTCACGCGCCGCCTACACACAAACGGCGGCCGGATTGACTCCACGCTCAGCTCTAAAGTTAACACAAATGACTTTATAGTGTGCGTGCGGGTACGTGTACGTGTCAGGCTGGATGACGTGATTGTCTCTCAGAGCCCGCATATGATTAAAATGGAGAACAAGATAAAACTCTTTGGAGCAAAGGAGCAGCGCGTATTCTGCTTGTTGTTGATGATACGAGGCGTTCGCTAAGGCAGGGAATGGTGGGGGCGGCAAAGGCAGCAAAATACGCATGACACTCCTTGCCGCTGCCGCACACACACACATACACAAGCAAAAGCACGCGACACACAGACACGAGGTCACTCACACACACACACACACACACCCATACACGTTTAGGCGACCAGCCGCGCGTCCCCTGGTTGTCCTCACTCAATAGCAATTATTAGTTGATTTTTCCCAGCGACATCGGGGCACAAATATTAATTTGTGCGCCCAGAGGAGTCAATATACTCAACAATTTCAAGTCACGAGATGGAAACACAGACACACACATACTTCTATATCTAAATTGCATGTGTATGCGAGAAATGGCAAACGATGAGTATATTGAGCGCAAATATAGTAACGGGATTTTTGCTAGCTGCTCCCTCTTTTCTCCCATTTCTTTTATGTTTCTTCTTCTTTTTAGCCGCGATGACGACAGCGTGCGCGACGGTAGCAAAAGCAGCAGCGGCGGCGCCTTCGCCTTGCGCTTTTCAATAACATTTACATTTACACTTTGTACTATTTATGTAATAGTTTTTTTTTCAAACGCTGGCGAATTTCATCTAGCCAGTTGCAACCCGCTGCATTGCACCTGGCACGTATTTTCACCAAATTATGTATAATTCACTTTTTCGTTGCTTTTTTTTTGCAGCTGGGTTTTCATTCTTTTTTGTTTTACTACCAGAACTCTACACACACACATGCAAACGAGGCACGCACAAAAAACACACGCACGCACAACACACTACGCGACACACTCAATGACGAAATTCTTCGGAGAGCGTTGACAACTCTAGGTTCTAGCTCAAGCTCCTCCGCTTTCAAGTATATGTGCCTGTGTGTGCGTGCCTGCGTTTGCATGTGTGTGTGCGAGAATTCTGCTGCTGCTGCTTTTCGTCATAATTTTTGCGTTGGCATCGAATTTTAATTTTGCACGTGCTCACCGCACATTACTGTACACAAATTTGATAATTATTGCAATCGCACTTCTTTTAGCTGTATTATTATGAACTCTTTTGGAATTTACCTAGCACACAAAACACAAAAATTCGATTTTTTCCTCGCTGATATTTTCACGCGAATGACCTTACATCACACGCATACAATACACACACACACACGCGCCTGAAATTGTGGGCATTTATTGCCTGTCCAAGTTTGGTCGCACATTTTGCCCTTATAAAAATACTAAAAAAGTGAGTAGCTCTGGGAAACTATTGTTTACCAACACTGATACAGTACATCGATAACTATAGACCGTTCTCGATTGTTAATCAGGCGAGTTCATAGAAAAAGCGACCGTTATTAATTTAATTTTAACTCTTCTAAAATATTTTAGAATTTTGTTTTGAAAATTAGCAACATAAACCGTATTATGTATATATTTATATAAGGGGTGTGTCAAGTCAATACATTTGACACATAACTTTTTTCGTTAACTTAAGTCATTAAATTATTCGAATAGTTTTTCAAGATCGATATATCGAGACCACTATCGATTTGGATAACATGCGATAGTTAGGGGTGTGGTGCGATAACTTCATTTAGTTTCTGATTGCACATCACTAACATAAGTCATCGCGTTGCGGGTTCGTGTGTGAGTGCGCTGTTGGTTTTGTGTTTCATTTATTTAAGTTAAAAGTTATATTTTTGTGTTGCTTCTGTTATTACAAATAATGCGCTCGATTTGCTGCATAGCGTGAGCACACAAATTGCATTAAACAGGTGAGTGCAGTTCTCATTTTACAATGCGTGACGATGGCGACCCGCCCAAAATGTTTGCCTCAAATACCTGCGCTGCTGCTTGCGTTGTTATTATGCTGTTGTTGTTGTTGGTGCTGCCCGCACATGGGCGTTGACCAAAAACTGAAAACCCAAAGCGCCAGCTCTTCAGTATTTGACTAGCTACTTTTATGCAGCACATCATAAGCATCAAAACTAATAAAATGCGGTCCTCTGTGTTAAAATGGCCGCAGGCTTCTTTCTGCAAAAAAAAAGAACGCAACGTCTGCCGCCAGCCACCTGCTGCCCAATTGGAAATTTGAGGCGCACTCAAATTTCAGAGCCCCTGTTTTTTTGTTTTTGCATATTGGTGTGTGCCCAGCTCCTGCACGCATTTCAATTGCACTTTTGCCCTGCCTTTAGGCATGGTTTTACACTAATTAATGCCACTTTACATGTGTGTGTGTGTGTGTGTTTGCCGTTTGCAGCAGCAGCAGCGAAAGGGTGGATTACACTGTCCGTCGCTCTTGCAGCAGCGTTGAGCTGAATTATTATTACCGAGTTTTGTTCTTTTTTTTCTCTCGTTGTGTTTGTTTTTCACATCGGCCAGCGACTTCTGCTGCTTCACTGCGCAGACAACACACACACACACTCACATACACATGTATACAAACAGACAGGTAACCGACACTATCTTCTGTGTTGCGTGTTCTGTTATTTTGTTCGTTACCGGCAACTGCCTTTCAAATGTTCTCCCCCTCTCTTTTTGGTCTCTGTCAGGCTTTTGGCCGAGGGTCAAGTGCGCCTTGCCTGCTGCTTACCTAATTGTCCGTTCTTCTCACCTTTTCTCGACTGTTTTTTTATGGTTGCCTAAAATTGTCTTCTTATTTTTTACCTAGGACATTGTCCTTTTTTTTTGTTGGGCAGGGGAATTTTATGATCGTGATAAGCTGCTTTTCTTCTTATTATGTGCGTCACTTCGTCAATGTCAAAAACGTAGGGCTGTTAAATTTGCAGCTTTCGGCGGCCGCCATTTTTCTATTTAAATTGCGAGCTGCAGACACACTTATGATTAAATCTAACGGAACTGGCAACACTGCCTAATAGTTGCATAGTGTATGTTTTAATATTAATGAACAAGATGGCAACTCTCCCTTCAATGGCGCATTTTAAAATTCTGTGATCACGCTCGCTAGTTTAATTTTTAGGCTTCCTTTCATTTTGAGGCTTTTATCGGTTTGTTTCTTGGATTTCTAGAACCTATTCTTGGGGATTAATGCCAACAAGCACACAGACTTAAGTGGGCCAGTCTGCACTGAATGTCGCTGAATGTGTCGTAAATTATAGAGGCTTCTGTTTCTTTTTTTTTAGGCGTTGCCAAACTGTCGCCTTAAAACGCTTTGGCACATATCCCATATCAAAGACTAATTGCGCGCCCACTTGAATGACATTTAACTTAAAATTTGACATAATTTAAATGCCGCATGTTGTGTGGCACCAATGTGTGTGAGTGTGTGTGCGTCTAGTCAGCCGCCTAAATCCATGCCGTTTGTAAATTTAGCGCGTAGGTACATTGCTCCTGCTAGTGGGGCCGCTATAAATATTCATGCAGCGCCCTCATTTGTTACCCTTGCCAGAGGGTATTCATAGTGCATTGGGACTTTAGAGCTCAGCGCGTGTCGTGTTTGCTTTCGTGAAAAGTCGTGCGTGCTCATAGATTGTAAATAAACACGAATGCGTCTAGCTCTACATGAGTATAGAGTTGGCTTAACCAAAAGAAGTTAGAAAAAATTGAAAATTACATAAGATAAAAAATGTTTTAAATATTCACTAACCTCATGTCATTCACTAACCAATGCGAAATGCTCCCATCTCTAAGCTATAAAGATAAGAGCTGCTTGAGTGTTGGAAAATGTGGTTTTTAAGCTCACGATAACAAAACATTTGTGTAAACTAACAGCTGTTTAACAGCAGGTACCAATGTTTGTAACAGCGCGTCAGAAATGTTAAAGAATAGTGGATTTAACATGATTATGTTTGTAGACATCCTTAGTGCAAAATGTTACCCTCTGTTATTCTTATTATATTTATGACCGTTTTATAGCACGAACAAATGTTACTAACAGCACGTCACAAATGGATTAAACATGATTATGTTTATAGATAGCTAAAGGCAAAACTGTTGATCTCTGTTATTCTTATTATTTTTATGACTGTTTTACAGCACGCACAAATGTTACTAACATCGCGTCACAAATGTTAATAAATATTGTATATAACATGATTATGTTTGTAGCAAAAATGTTACTCTCTGTTATTCTTGTTTTTTTCCAAACGTGTCTTACGTTCGCTGGCTTTTGGTAGAGTATTGTCGTGTCGGTGTTGACTGCCTTGGCCTGCCTTGTCATGTTAGTGGTTGCTGTTTTGGTTGCCTGCACAGCACGCGGAAGGCATTCGAGCAGATTAAACAAGAGCCTGTAGAACACGCACGGCGAACAACAGAAAGCAGTCGCAGCTCTATTTATATATAGTGCATATATACAGTCGGGATATAAGTTGTTAATTGATGCACTCACTTTACGCACTGATTGATTGAGTTCAACTTGTTTTTGTTTTCTGTGTTCTCCCTTGCAGCGCAGCAGTCACAAATTGAGGATGCAACGCTTGTGGCACATGCTGCACGCGTTGCTCTTGCTGCATTTGGTGGCGGCACAAAACGATGGCAGCTATTACAACGTGCAACCACAGCAGCCGCAGCAGCAGCAGCCCCAACAGCCGCTGCAGCCACAGCCCACATCGGCATACGACAACAATCCACAATACGGAACGAATCTCAACCCCAATTTGAATCCCAATTTGAATACCAATTTCAATCCAAATCTCAACAATAACAACCCGAATCCAAGTCAAAGTCCGAATCCGACCTACAGCTACAACAACCTGGGCGGCGCTCAGGAGGATTATAACAAGCGCCCGGGCGGCTTTGGCGACGATGAGCCCAGTTTGCAGCTTGGAAAAACCTCGTACAATGTTAAGGCCAGTTTTCTGGAGACGCTGCACAATCGGGAGCCGACCTATTTTATTGTCGCCTCCCGCATGGTCCGGCCCGGCCTCATCTATCAGGTATCCGTGTCCATACTCCAGGCCAAATATCCGATCACGGTGCACGCGAGCATCTCGTGCGATGGCGTTCAGATCAGCGGCGACTCCAAGGACGTCAAGGAGGGCGTGCCGGAGACCTTGCTCATGCGCATCCCACCGACCAGTGTCACCGGGGATTATAAACTTCGCGTCGAGGGTTTCTATCAGGATGTCTTTGGCGGCATTGCGTTTCTCAATGACACCCGGCTGGACTTTTCGCAGCGCTCGATGACCATCTTTGTGCAGACCGACAAGCCGCTCTATATGCAGGGCGAGACAATCCGCTTCCGCACCATTCCCATCACCACCGAACTGAAGGGTTTCGATAATGCCATCGATGTCTATATGCTGGATCCCAATAAACACATTCTCAAGCGTTGGCTGTCCCGGTAAGTTCCAGTTGCAGCCTATTAAAGCCTTTACAAAAAGGCTTAACAAAATCGAGTAATTAGATTTTAGATGTTATCGATAAGTATCGGTTACCCTGTCTTTTTTGAGTAGCTTAACAAATTTTTAAAACTGGTAACTTATATTTTGGCATGCAGGTTCTCATATTACACAAACAGCTCCCAGGCATATCTACAAATTTTCACAAATCGATAAATATCGATATCGATATCGATTACCCCGCGCGGATATATGACGTGAGATTATAGGAGCTAGCGATACATCTGCCAATTATTGCATTCAGTGCAACGTTTGGACAGCTAATGTTATTTTCACAAATCGATAAATATCGATAACTATATCTTAAATTGCAAAGGGTTGTTAGGGTCATCGAAACACGAGCATATTGAATCGAATTTATGTTGGATCTTCCATAACATAACCTGTTTTCCCAAATCGGTAAATATCGGAAAAAGTTATATATCGAGATAATTGAGGCTATCGATAAATATCGATAACTAGATCTTAAATTTCAAAGGATTGTTAGGCTCGTCAAAATTCTCCCAAATCGATAAATATCGGAAAAAGTTCTATATCCCGATAACTGAGGCCAGATTCTAGTATGGTATAATCAGCTTATGAACATTACATCCAATTATATATCTCCCCCGCAGTCGACGAACCTCTTTTCCTGTTTCATGCTTAGCTTGCGATTTGACTAACATCTCCTCTCTTCAGGCAATCGAATCTGGGCTCCGTCTCGCTGGAATACAAGCTATCGGATCAGCCGACATTTGGAGAATGGACGATCCGAGTGATTGCCCAGGGTCAGCAGGAGGAGAGCCACTTCAGCGTCGAGGAATACTATCAGACGCGATTCGAAGTGAATGTCACGATGCCGGCGTATTTCTTCACCACGGATCCGTATATCTACGGTCGGGTGATGGCGAATTTTACGAGCGGCCTGCCCGTGCGCGGCAATCTGACACTGAAGGCGACGATCCGGCCG